ACACGGAATTCGTATTCTTCTTTTTCGCCTAGGCCATCTACGACGAGAGAAGTAGCCTGAAAAAAGCACTTCTAAGGGGTTAGGAAGGAAAGGCTTCGAAGTCGGTATTTGATCCAGTGTTAGGACTGCGGCCAAATGCTGGCTAATATCATAGGTACATGCGAAACCATTTGATTGCGAAAAGCAATCAAATGGTAGAGCAGCAGCAACCCAGAGCTGAGCAAATGGCACTTGTGCAGTGTGGCGCAATGGTTAGTGCGTTGGGCTGGTAGGCACAAGGTCAAAGGTTCAACTCCTGGTTGTGAACTCTGTTTTGCTTTTTATTTTCTCTCTTATTTCTCGAAGCAAAGTATTACTTTATAAATGCTTATTGCATTTTTGCTTTCCTTAATCCTCTAATGTTTCAAAAACTGATCACGTATGTGATCTATTTCTACAATTTCAACATTTTGATGCGAATCCCTTACCTTTACTGGCTTAGCGTTAACTCTCGTCCAATCAGTATCACCGATCTTCTTCTTTTCCACGTAATATCCATCAATTGGGGCTCCACCATCCTTTGATGGCTTGCTCCACATGACTTCAGCCGAGTTCTTAGTAATGTTACCGATTCTAGGTTGGTCAGGAGCACCAGGAGGCACTGAAAAGCCGCCAATTTTCACCTCGAAACATCTTTTTGGATAAAATATGTGCTACTTACCAACGAATGGCTTGCAGGTGACCGGTTCCGTTCCGTTGCTAGCCTCTCCCTGTCCGGCAGCGTTGACGGCGCGAACGCGGAACTGGTAGGTTTCTCCTTCATGAAGATTATTGATGGTAACCTCTGTTCCCTTGACAAGTGGCATTTTAATGGGCGCCCAATCGCCGCCACCCTTCTTCTCGAATCTCTCAACAACATATCCAAGAATGGGTGAGCCGCCATCGTCTTTTGGTGGATTCCAGGCTAACGACACCAAGTTGGAGTCGTATCCGGTGATTTCGGGAGTAGAAGGTGCACCTGGTGGGTCGAACGGATCCTTGATAAGTACTGGAGCCGTTGTGGCGTAGTCAGAAAGTCCAACAAGGTTCTCGGCGCGGATTCTGAAGCGGTACTGTGCACCGTGCTCTAAGCCTTTGACAGCTGTACGATGTGCCGGCGATAGTTCCTGGGACCTTCTCCCAGAGTTTGCGAGCCGACTTCCTGGTACTCGATCTTGTAGCCAGTAATCTCGGATCCTCCGTCATCCTTGGGAGGTGTCCATTTCAATGCGCATGTATGTCTCGTCACTTCATCATTAGTAAAACCTTCAGGAGCTGCTGGTATGTCAATGACCGTAACCTTGATATTGGCTTCGGCAGATCCACAAGAGTTGACGGCCTTGATGGTGATTGGACCGGCATCGCTCTTGCGGGCCTTTTCGATCAAAAGACGCGTCTGGGAGTCGGTGGTTTCCACCAGTGGCAGTGGCTTACCGTCCTTTACCCAGGTAACCTCCGGAGTCGGTGATCCATGCATTGGAATGACGATATTCAATGGTTCTCCAACTTTCACGCGGAATTCTTTGCCATCGATTTCCATATCGAAAACGGGTGCTTCGAACATTGGCTTGGCAGTAGCAGCAGCTGATGGGTCCGATGGAGCACCGGGACCGCTCTTGTTTACTGCTACTACTCTGTATTCGTAGGTATGGTCTTTCTGGACGCGTACATCCGAGAATGCTGTTCCGTGGACGGGTTGTGTATTTACCTACAAATTTGTTTTTCAACCACTTAGAAAAAATGGGAACCATGGAAGGAACCAAGGAACCAAACAGGCTGGTCTGATTTTATCCTTACCTTTACCCATCTTCCCGTCTTCAGATCCTTCCTCTCAACGTCATAGTGGTCTATCGGAGAGCCACCATTATCACGTGGTGGTTCCCATTTGATGTCAATGTGGTCATTATCGGTGTCCGTGACTTGAGGCTAAATCCCCATTTGAGAGATTTTTTTCGCATACCTACTAATTAAAGGCAGTTTACCTGTCCAGGCTTTCCAGGAACTCCGAACGGATCCTTAGCAAGCACCGGTTCGGTCGTATTCAGCGGATCTGAGCGACCGAAGGCATTTTCGGCCATAACTCTGAACTCATATTCATGTCCCTCGACAAGCTTGGGCACAGTGACTTTCGTTCCTGTGACGAACGCTGAGACTGGAACCCAGGTGTTCGTCTTAGTGTCACGCTTCTCCACCACATAGTTGGTGATTTCCGAGCCACCATCGTCAGCTGGTGGGTTCCAGCTAAGAACACAGCTGTCCTTGGTCACATCTGATACCTCTAGTGGTCCCTCTGGTGCTCCTGGGTGGTCTGAAAAGAAAACAGTGATTTTTAGTTGAAAAGTTAGTTACGAATGGGACTTACCTTGTACAATGACTTCGAAGACACCTTCG